CGACCACACAACATATTTTTATTATTATTATTACACTATATGTTTAGACCTCAAGAGGTCATCCTCAGATGTACGAACACAGCTGTATAATTACACGCAATCACATTCGTCTTCTCACTTATTCGATCCTGTATCTTATTCAGGGTCACGCTCAATATTATATCAAGCTCTCTCATAAAACAAAAGTTAAAATTGTCTTCCTTCCTCATTTGAAGGCGGAAACAGATTCAGTTTCCGAAACGTCGTGTTTTCTATTTCCTAGAATTCACGACGATGGAAAAAGTCCAAGAACCCAGCAATTCTGTGTATTATCCACCATTGTGAGAACCCTTTAGAATCTGCAAGAAAATGTACATAGTATGATGAAAACCAACCACTGGAAGACACTACTAGAGTCGGCTACCGACCCGTGACGAATATGGCAGTCAACAGTGTCAGACGGAGTATTGTATAAACTGTCAGTCATTGCCACAGACCTTCAGAACATATTTTTTCTTGGTGTTGTTTTCACTGTAGCGCAGTACTTCCGTGCTACCAAGCCCGTTACATAACAAAATTATTGATTTGTCATTTGTATCGACCTAATGGACACCGATACACCAGAGTCTACTATTTTTACCCATGGCGACCGTTTGAATTTGTTATGTCTTGGTAGTAAGTAATCTATAATTCTGAAAGAAGTTTCAGTTTTATTACTTAATATGATGACAGTTGAAATACCTGGTTATTATTAGTACTTTCCTTTCTCCATTTGCTTTTATTCTTCTTCTTCATTTTCTTTTATAGAAGTGCAAATTATTTTCCGAACTAATAATCTGGCTTAAAGTTATCTTGGGTCCTAAAGTCTAGGTGCTCTGTTTAACTTCATTAACATCTGTGAAAAAGGTAGAGACCGGTCACGCTGGCCGCGCTGTCTAAGGCATGAACTGTCTTCTCCCTCTCCGAAGCCGGGATTCTGGGTTCGGATCCCACACAAGGCATGGATGTTGGCATGTGTATATGCTTGTTCTGTGTTTGTGCTGTCCTATGTTTAGGTAGAGTCCTTGCGATGAGCTGATCACTCTTCCAAGGAGTCCTACCGTCTGTACAATAATCATTAAACTGAAAAATAGGAGGCCAGGGCCCAAGGGTGCTGTAGAGTCAGTGAAGAAAAAGAAGGTAGAATTGTCCCTGTGCTTAACTAATTAAGCACTAAGCCATGAAGGTAGGCCGCGCCNCGAAAATGCAACGAAGTAAGTTCACGTTTACGCGCCAGTCGCTGGCTTCCCACCGCGGCGGTCCGGGTTCGATCCCGGGTCTGGTCAAGTGGGATTTGTGGTGGACAAAGTGGCGCTGGGGCAGGTTTTCTCCGAGTACTTCTGTTTCCCTTGCCAATCTTCATTCCACCAATTGCTTCACAATCACCCTCACTTACCATCTGGGGCTGGTGCAATAGGCCAGAAGTAGCCGCAGTACAAGGGACGTAGTTCCACCCCACTAGCAATAAAAAATGCCATGAAAGCACGTGGAAAAATGGATGTATAGATCCACGTTTCGTTGACCCCGGCAATAGCTGTAGGTGAGTGGTCAGCTTCACGCCCCAGCCGCTTTACCCCCCGTGGTAAGAGCCTCCTGTATTCGTTGGATAGGAGACTGGGCCCTAGAACCGGTCTGGACGACGTGGAGAAGAGAAAATTCTTAATCATACCGGGGCTCGAACTCCGACATCTCCATCGACCAGCCCGTAGCCAGTCGCTGTATCGACTGCGCTGTCCTCAACATCCGTGTACTGTAAGGAATTTAAAGTTGTTACATTATCTTTCAAAATTCATTTTTAAGAGAAGCCACAAAGAGAATGAATTGTTTCATATCTGACAGCTGAAGATGGACAATTGAATTCAGTCCCTGAATATCCCCTGCAAATGTAACTACGCATATAATGAATAATGCATAGAATACGATTTAGTCTTATGCGTAAATATAGAAGCAGGTATAAAAGTTTGAAACTTTGTGCATTCTGTATATTTTAATGTCAGGAACATCTTTTCGGAGAGCAAACGACATGTTGCACTGACGCAAGATCAAGTAAGATATAACGTGATATTGACGGCGTCAGAAGAAATGCTCGCACCGACCAAATTTATGGCTATATTTCTGACGTCATAAATGTAACATTATACCCGATCTTTTATCTGTGGTATACGCTGAGCTTTATTTTCTAAAAGGATGCTTTGGCTATTGCCTCGTAAAAGTTTATGGGCCAGAAGGAAAGAAGTCTGATAAGGACATAAGTCAAGGATAATTACTGCGTGACTTCAAGTAAACCTGTGCGCCTCAGACTTACTCACTTTGAATATAGAGACTAAAAAAGGTCAAGTTGTCCCTGTGCTTAACTAATGAAGCACTACATCATGAAGGCGTATGGGGGAGCGGAAGTATGGATCCACATTTTCTTTCATCGGTATTAGTTGGGGGTGATTGGTCAACTTCATGCCCCTGCCGCGTTACCCCCGGAGTACGAACCCCCAATACTCATTGGTTAGAAGACTGGGTTGGCCCTAGTGCCGGTCTGGAAGACGTGGAAAGAGAAAATTCTTGACCCTACCAGGGCTCGAACTCCGACCAGATCGTAGCCAGTCGGTATACCGACTGCGCTAAAGTAATACGAAAATGCAACGAAGTAAGTTCACGTTTACGCGCCAGTCGCTGGCTTCCCACCGCGGCGGTCCGGGTTCGATCCCGGGTCTGGTCAAGTGGGATTTGTGGTGGACACAGTGGCGCTGGGGCAGGTTTTCTCCGAGTACATCGGTTTCCCCTGCCGATCTTCATTCCACCAATTGCTCCACAATCACCCTCACCTATCACGATCGCTCCCTTCCACGCCCTCTAAATTCATTACTGTGAGTCATTCTCACACTGTAATCTGTGCAATTTTAAGTGCATTGCTAAATAAACTAGGAACGAAATGAGAAGTAACATTTATGCTGAAGAATTCTATATTCTGGGATATAACGCTGTCTTGAATTTCAACATATTACAAGACGTTATATCATAGAAGGTAAAATGCTTCGTAACCACCGCCATGAGAACTTCAAATCCTACAGCAGATATGCTTATCATGAGATGTTCTATATATCTATCTATTCCTGTTTCTCACATTTGGAGCGTAGTGCACCCGTGAAACGTTTCAATCCATTTCAGTTTCTTAATCTTAGACAGTTGGTAGGACTCTTTGAGCGGGGGATCACATCCATATCAAGGCCCCTACCTACACACAGAACAACACAATCACGGAATAAACGCAAGTATCCATACCTTGAGTGGGATTTAAACCCACGATCACAGTGTTCGAACGGGCGAAGACATGTCTCTGAACTCGCGGCCACTGTGACCGGCTCGTAAGAAATTTCATTCAGTAAATTCCCAAGAGATGCTACATCCAAGTGTTATTATCCACGCCCTAAATACATATCCATAAGATTCATTAGCTTGTGTACAAATTATGCTTCTACTGATATTGCACAGATATTCTCACGTGAGAAGATCCATCAGCCACATCTCTCTCTCTCTCTCGGGCTGTCAAACTATCCTCTCCGGCTCTCTCGGGAATGCCCATAGTGATAGCCACGTGATAGCCTTCGTTAGCGACAAGCGCTTTGGGATTGTTGCGTCCACTGACAGAAGTTCTCTTCGTGGCCACAGTATGATCTCTACCCTAAGCTGGATGAATCGAATTTTAACACGAGTTTCTCTGTTATCCTGTTTCCCTGTTGCCTCATCAAGCTATTTCAAGCCCAGTGAAAGTAGAACGCGACCATCTTTTCAATTTCTAACCCCAGTGTAAGAGAAAATATGGCAACAGAACAGAATGATTCAACACTTCAGTCATCGGATCCTACCAAATAGGGGAAATATAGGATAAATGAGGTAATCGTGCAGTTTTGAAGTTCTTAAAGAATCCTTATAGAACTCGAAAAAATACAGCTTTACCAGCGTAAATGCTGTAGAAAAGAAACAGTTAATGAAGATGCATGTTGTGTATGTGAGACAATGTTTATTGTATGATGCATGTACTTCCGTAGTAAAAAAGCTTTTCCTGTAACAGGCTGTGGAGGCCCTTTAGTGTTGTGAGACGTCGAGGCTCCCACATTTTTTAAACAATCGGCTCACAGATGGCGGTGAGGTTGTCAGTCTTACGCGCCAGCCGCCCATTACACCCCAGGAATATTCCTGGTACTCATTTCTGTTAGAGGCTGAGTCGATCCCAGAGCCATAGTGCGGCTTGAGGGATTGGGCAGATCGAAAAAACAGTGACTTCGTCAGGAATCGAACCCGTGACCTTCTGGCTTGTAGCATAATGCCTCAACCAATTACACTACCACGTGCCCCCAATTCCATAGCAATCTAGGCAATTTCTCAACGCCACCAGGTTAATTCTGCGATAGGTTGAGTTCAGACAGAATACACACACACACACACACATACATCACTTACTTACTTACGTACTCATGGAGCTGAGCCCTTCTGGAGGAGCCGCCAATTCTGCAGCTACTCAAGAATATCCCAGCATTTTATGGAACCCGAAGGTTCATTACCGTGCTCACAACAGCCCTCAACTGGTCCCTATCCGGAGCCAGATCTATCCAATCCATACCATCCCATCCTATCGCTCTAAGATCCATTCTAATACTGTCCGCCCACCTACGCCTTGGTCTTCCATGTGGTCTCTTTCCTTCTGGCTTTCACACCAATATCCTATACGCATTCCTCGTCTCCCCCATTCGTGCTATATGACCTGCCCACCTCATCCTCCTTGACTTGATCATTCACACACACACACACACACACACACATATATATATATATGTAGTTTCCAATCACTTGTAAACAATAACCCTTTTAAAGTAATTGTTTTAGAATACTCGTATATGAACTTCACAGTCGGGTTCTTCGTCACAACTAAAACACAAAAAATCGGGTATATCACTGAAGGATTCTGTTCTTTTTCAATTTCTTTGCAGTGTGAAACTCACAGCGCCTTATGTCGGCTGCCCTGAATCCGAAGGAAGTGAAGTGCAGCTCAACAATGCAGCTAACAATTGCAGTTTCAACATCAGAGTTCAAACTGAACGCCAGTCACCGTTTCAAAATTAGAAATTTCTTCGCTGGAGGTGAATTCAAGAGCCCTTCCTTAGGTAAGCTGTGGTGCATCTGCGTTCCTTCTAGACCATGTAAAAACTCGAACTCACCTCTGAAATTCGTCCAAATACATTTCATGTGTAATTTAGAGAATTGTTTCTTTTTTGCTTCTAGAATAGCAGCAGTTTACACAGTACTAAATTATATGTCAGTAAGAAGCAAAGAACGAGGCTTATGTTTGTACACCTGATGCCTGCGTTTCTTTGCATTTGTTGGTTTTCAATCTCTGAAAGTAGCATCCAACATAAAAGAACAATACGTTCATCAGTGGTTACGGGTGTATATTTAGGAATGTGAAGTTGATAAAGAAATGCCATACTCAAATTATGCACTCAAATTAAAACAAACAAAGATATAGAAACACGTGTACCGTACCATTTGAAGAGCGTGCAAGAAGCGGAAATATTAGATACAACTGTTTCATAATTTATCGAATTCCTGCTCGCTGTGCTAACGGAACGATTCGACATTTCCTTTGTGCGTTCAAAAGGTATCGTTATTTAAGCTGGGGTATGAGATTACTCTGATTGCTTTAAACGCATAGTAAAGCAATGTTCTTTGTACTGCGGAATTAGCCGCACTGTGCCGTTAGTTTCATTTCCCCTACTCGTTTATTGCAGTCCATTTATGCACACGCGTTCATGAAGATCCACTTTGATAATACTCTAAAAATTTGTAGGACTCAAAAATGGCATCTATAATGTTCTATACTATCCCAAATGTATGGTTTTCTTTCCCCATTTGTGTTGTACCTCTGGCCAAAATTACATGTTAGTTTCTCAATACTAACAGTAAAGGACTTTAATTAAGTTCAGTTCTTTTGTATTTTTTATTTCTCTCTCAGTACAATTATCTGGACTAAAACATTTTCATCGATTTGATTTCATAAAACGTTGAATGTTTATTTTTCCGTCAGGGCAAGAAACCATTTTCCACGGCCACAAAAGCATTCCAAATGATGTTTCTACATAGCGAAATCTGTACAGTGTTTGAAAACGGGTGCGATTTAACAGGTTTTGGAAAACAAGAAACAAATAACTCCTTGAAAGATACTGAAATTTTCTTTCAGAGATTTGTTGTCTCCTTAGAATCATCATTCTTGTTCCAGTGTCTTCTGAAATAATAATTAGATATAAATAATTACAACTTATTACAATCAACATTTTATCACTAATTTGTTTAGTGTTTAAAACAATTGTTTCGACTTGTAAGCCATTCCTGAATATTGCTATTTTGTTAGCCGTCCGTTCTTTACAATACAGGCCTTCAATTTTCATATTGTCACGATTTTATAGTGCCTATAGACGGGGTTTGCATTGGTAATCGAATTTATTGAACACTTAGCTACAAATAACTAGGACAGTCTTGAGTTATGCACTCAAAAGATCAATATAACTACAGCAAAGTCTTCTCCGTTTGCTATGTCTTCTTCAGTCGTTGCCTGGTGACGTATCCCAACATTGTCCTCTGCTTCCGTGCTCAAGTTCTTAACGGCTGGCGGCTATAACTAACTCATTGCACCAAATGTCCTACGTCTAATATCTCTGTATGGAGCTCACGGAGAACACCGTTCATCTGTTGCTGTTTCAAATTTTTGCCGTGCAAACATATTTGTTTGCGAAATCATTACTCAGTAACGGCTTTTGTATAGCTGCTTCTTTCGCGGTCGTTGCTTAGCAACGCGTCTACATGCCACAGTATATTGCTTCCCTTTACATAACATGTAGAAAATTTTATAAGTGATATTTTCAAATATATAATAATAACATGTCATTTTATAACTTCAAACGTTTCCTTCTAATGTGTTTTCAATGCCTTAACATGCTGCTCTTTCCCATAATTACCCATATATGTGGTGTATTTATAAGAAAACATGAATATTACATGAAAGATTACGGGTATTTATACGTGTTTTCAGATTTATTGCGCGTGTTATGTCTTTCTAGCGGTGTTAAAATTTTCTCATACTTTCAGAAGTAGCAGTTCCATATCAGAAACTCTGCAATCTGAAGGATAATATTGTAACTTAATTCATTGTTTTAACGCCGAAAAGAGGGTAAGAGGTGGAAATATGAAAAGGAAAAAGAAGAAATACAGTGAAGGATGAAATAGAGAAATATTTCCCTGTTGAATTTCAAGGGGCATTTCCCACTTTATATTTTACAAGGAAGTAGATGTTTCTTACCGGATCTGACTTGCAAAACACCATTATGCTTATACTAAACAAAAGTAAATTAGTGATTAAATCTTAATAGTAAGGAAGCTATCCATGTAACAGGCCGTGAAGGCCAATAGGGTCCTGAGATGTCAAGGCTTCCACATTTTCTGTAGACAGTCGGCTCACAGATGACGGTGAGTTTTTCACCCTCACCCCCAGGAAGATTCCTGGTACTCATTTGTGTTAGAGGCTGAGTCGACCTCAGGGCCATAGTGTGTCTGGAAGGACTAAGTCAACTGAAAAAAATCAAGCGACATTGAGAATCGAACCCGCGACCTTCCGGCTTGTAGCGTAGTGCCTCAACCAACTACGCTAGCGCGTGCTAAATCTGAATAGTAATAAAGCATAATAAAATTTTCTGGCGACCACTGTGAAAATGCGCTCATTGTAAATGAAAAGGGATTAGGCATAACGACAATGAGGACATGAATAGTGAGTGTACCCGTAATATACCAGTTACATTAGTGACCACGCCTATTTCATATACTTTTCTCTAATTATATTGAACCTGAAGTGATCTTTGATCTAAGCACGTGGAAGCCACACCTAATGCTCACAGGTGTAATCTCTTTCACGTTTTTGTTCGTCGTGACATGACATTCAACTCAATATTTGAATAAGTTTCGTGGAAGTTGCCAATGTTGTCCCAGAACATTGCAGAATCCATTAATGAAACTGTGAAAAATACATTATTTTTGAGTAATCATTAACTATCTCTCTGTGGTTCCACAGCCTTTGTGGACCTTGGCCACTTTCTCAGTTTCTTAATCCTATACACAGCGGGTAGGACTCCTTGGACGGGGGATCAGTCCGTCACAAAGCCGCTACCTACACGCAGAATAACCGCTCACAGAAATCATGCCTTGAGTGGGATTCGAGGCCACGATCTCAGTGTTCGAGCGGGCGAAGACAGTTCATGACTTGGACCGCGCCGCCGCTGTGTTCAGCTGGATCAATCAGTATCTCCACATATATAAGTGAGTTTGTATCAGGGAGTGAAATCTCTGAAATTACCCAACTTTATGTTACCATAGAAACGAAATATTGAGCGTTGCATGAACGTAAGTTGCGTAGCAGGTGAAGAATGAGCGAACAGGTCCTTATTTTTAATCAGGAATGGATTTCTCTTTCATCATCCTATAACAAGTAGGACTCTTCTTGTAGAAATGTTCGGTTTACCTTTGATTTCAACGGGCCGAATTTGGGTAAACGCTATTCATATATGGCTCCAGTTAATTTCAAGTGTACTCAGAAACAATATATTTCGATCATTTGAGGTGCATACCATATATGCATGATGCAATTAGTCATCTTCATAATAGATCCTCCTAGGAAACGAACGTAAATTTATTAACTGTGGCGTGAAACTCCACTGGGAAATGTACGCGTGTATTCCCAGAAGGCCTATATCAAATGGGATCTACGCCTGTTTTCATTTGTCCATCAAGACTGATAAATCTTCTTTGCTGATAAGGGAAATATTGTTATTTGCTGAGCATGAAATTGTTTCATTAATGCAATTTGTTGAATCAATTGTAGATGTACAATTTCCCCACATTTCCTTAATTAGTAATGAAGAGCCCCAAGTTTTTCCTATATAGAAACAGTGATATAGAGTAAATATGCATCAGTTACGTTTCTCTTGATTTTATTGGAACCTCTAGCGTAAACCATATATTCTCGGTAATTCCATTTTAAATTGTATATGTATTTCTTCAAACTAGGAGAAACTCCCTCTGAAATCAGACAATCTATAACAAACGGAGTTGTTGCATTATACTTTGAGTTTATCCGTGATTCCAAAGGGCTGTTCTCCGGCTCTCATAACGAGACTCAGTTCTACAGTACAGTTGCCAAATTCTGCGAATATAAATAGGTTACAAATTATGTTTTGACGATCACAGTGGCCCCGCGGTCTAAGGGCCCCCATACACACACAGTTTGGCTTCCAGTGCGGCCTGCACAGTTGAAGACTGAAAGGCAAAACTGACGTGTGTGGTGCGGCCGGCCGGCCAATCGTTTGGACTGTTGGCCTGTGGGAAACCCGTCAGTCCGTCAGTTTTGCCTGCAGGACCGTAGCACGTGACGTGTGTGACTCAACATTATAGGCTGGAAGACCGTGATTGTGGCATGAAGCCTGCCGCTTTATCTGCGCGTGTATGGGGAGGGTGTAAACTGTCACAGTTTTGCCTGTAAGGTCGATCGGAAGGCCAAACTGTGTGCGTGTGGGGGGCCTCAGGCATGAACTGTCGTCGCCCGCTTGAAAGCTCGGATCGTGGTTTCGAATTCTATTTGAGGCATGGATGTCTGTGTGTGCGTTAATTCTGTTTGTGCTGTCCTGTGTGTAGGTAATGGCTTTGCGACGGGATGACCACTCGCCAAAGGAGTCCTACCGTCTGTGTATAAAATATTACGAAACTGAGGAAGAGGCCAAGGCACAACAAAGGGCTGTAGAGCCATTGATGAATGAATGAAACAAATTATATTTGTGCCTACGCGGAAGTTGTTGTTTTAAATATTTAAAATATCTTTTACATTTCTCAGTTATACTTATTTGTTTCTTTATTTTTCTTTGCGACTTTGTGTCTTCCTCTTCTTTATTTCCTTCCCATTATTCCTCTCTTTTTGTCTGACATTTTCCCTCATTGCTACATTTTATTTCCTTTTCTGTTATCCACGTCACGGATTGTAAGAATATACTCGTACAGCGGTCGGATGGGACCGCAGTTTTGTTTGGTCTGTAGATCAAGCCGTTGATAATTTAATTGCAG